TGCTGTTGGGTGTGGCCTATTATGCTAATGAGTTCCTGCTGGGCTTTTTCTACAAAAAAAGCCCTGATTACCATCATGAGTATACAAAGTGCTTCATGTAAGGTATCTCAATAATTCTGTATCTCAATAATTCAGTATCTCAAAAACCCTGTAGGACTGGGATCTTCTGACTATAGATAAGGGACTGAGTAATCATTGTGTTCATGTCTGACCTGAGAGGGAAACCAAGAGCCATTAATGCCGTCAGCCACAATGGTGAATATAGTTGCCAGCAACCGTTGTCTTTTCCATCTGCTGAATTTATTCCTTATGTCTCTAAATAGGACACAGTCGTTAATAGCGTCTCTGCAGGCTAACCGTGAAAAGCGGCTCAGAAGGTTGAACAGAATTAAATATGTATAACTTCTATAGATTTAATCTAACCTGGTTTCTCACCATCTGCAGTCTTATTAACCTCAGTGGCATGGCGTAGGTGGAACTCCTGAGTTTGAGAAAAACTTAACAGGCCAGAATGAGGGGAGAATGTGAAATAGCCATGCGTATGTAGCTTAAGCAACACCTTCGGGTGAAGCCGTGGGTATAGTGGAACCGTTCCAGCGGACCAGAAGGAGGGAACATCAAGGCACTCTTTCAAAGAGATAAGTGAAACCTATTAAAGACAGTTGTGATGCTCGACACTTGAGGAGCTAACGTTTTGGTTTATTAGTCAAACCAAGGAGCAATAATGTGACTTGCTGCTCATAATGAAGAGGGCATCCTTAATTGACCCATGTGTCTTCCTGAAATTACATTACACCAAGGACAGTCCAAGCAGAAGAGGCTTCTTTTGTTTAATTTCTTTGGCATGAGTAACCTTCTTAATTAGGAAATGCTACAGTCTGGAAATTGCATAGTAACACACACCCCTCCCAGAAGAATCTTGTGGACTTTTTAAAGAATTACTTAATTACAATAATTCAAAAGCCTTAAAGCAAACAGAAGAAGGAGGAGGAGGAGGAGGAGGAGGAGATTGGATTTATACCCCGCCCTTCACTCGGAGAGCGTCTTACAATCTCCTTCGCTTCCTTTCCCCACAACAGACACCCTGTGAGGCAGGTGGGGTTGAGAGAGCTCTGAGAGAACTGCTCTTGAGAGAACAGCTCTGAAATAATTTGTAACTGACCCAAGGTCACACCAGCTGGCTGCATGTGGAAGAGTGGGGAATCAAACCTGATTCTCCCAGATTAGAGTCTGCTTCTTTTAACCGCTATACCAAACTGGCAACTGAATGGAGGATCCACAAGGAATTGTCAGGGATAGGAAATTCTATTTCCCCCCTCCCAGCCAGTCCCAGTTTTTCTTCCCCCCTCCCTGTCTGCCACCATCCACAGCATCTCCCCGTCCCACAGTCACTGGCTCTCACCTCACTCCCCCTCCCCAGCCTCCAGCTCCCCTTTTCTTCCTTGTCCTGCCGAACATCACTGTGGCCTCACCTTGCTGGTCCCCGTGCCAGTCTCCATGCAGCCCAGACTCTTGCAGCCTTTCTCCTCAGATCTGGGAAGCTAAGCAGGGTCAGCCCTCGTTGGCACTGGGATGGGAGACTCCCGAGGAAAGTCAGGGTCACTGCGCCGAGGCAGGCAGTGTCACTCCACCTCTGAACATCTCTTGCCTTGGAAACCTTACGGGGCCGTCATAAGTCAGCTGCGACTTTGGGGGCGGGGGGAATAGTTTTCCGTGGATCGTAAAGGTGACACTTCGTCACGATGGTGTTTTCGTGCAGAGGTAAATCCGCTAACCTCCTCACTGCTAAAATATGTGGCAGGGGAGGAGCTTTCGTGAGTCGCTGCTCGACTCTTCAGATATTTCACGAAATCTCCTCCCCCTGCCACATATTTTGTTCGTCTTTAAGGTGCTACCGGACTCTTGTTCTTTTCCACTGCTGCAGACAGACTAAGACGGCTGCCCGTCCTGATCTGCCTCCTCGCTGCGGTTTGTTTTGTTCTGTTTCGTTACATTTGGGATTTTATTATATTTTTTAGCTATGTAGTGGGGTCCTGTTCGTATTTACTTAGTTATAAACTTGGGTTAGTTTCATCTGAAATGTGGTGTCGGAGGAGACATTTAGATACCGTGGACCAGTGTTCCCTCTAAGCAGTGGAGTCTTGTGAGCAAAAATTCTGCTTTGTGAGCTACTGACATTAAAGTTGTGAGCAAGCAATTTGGCTCCTGCATAAATTAGTTTGCTCTGGAGGCATCCTTCCTGAGCTAAGACAAAAATGTGTGAGCCAGAGGCTAAGAAACTTTGAGCTAGCTCACACTAACTTAGCTTAAAGGGAACACTGCCATGGTCTGCCAGAAAGACAAACGAGTGGGTACTAGATCAAAATCAAGCCTGAACTCTCCCTAGAAGCTAAAATGACTCAACTGAGGCTATCATCCACTGGTCCCTTTATGAGAAGACAAAGAGTCACTGGAAAAGACAGTGATGCTAGGAAAAGTTGAAGGCAGCAGGAAAAGAGGAAGACCAAACTTGAGCTTAGAGGGAACACTGCCATGGACTGCCAGAAAGACAAACTTAACAGTGGGTACTAGATCAAATCAAGCCTGAACTCTCCCTAGAAGCTAAAATGACTCAACTGAGGCTATCATACACTGGTCCCTTTATGAGAGGACAAAGAGTCACTGGAAAAGACAGTGATGCTAGGAAAAGTTGAAGGCCGCAGGAAAAGAGGAAGACCAAACTTGAGATGGATGGACTCGTCGAAGGAAGCCGTCATGGCCCCCAGATTGCAAGACCTGAGCAAAGCTGTCAACGACAGGATGTTTTGGAGGTTGTTAATTCATAAAGTTGCCATAAACCGTGAGCAGCTTGACAGCACTTAACACACACACCAGCCTGGATCTCCCGTAATTTGCCTGCTTTCACCCTAAGGCACTTGGGTCTGGCTGCTAGAATCCATCATTCCCACCCTGTGCATCAAACTGCATGATACCACACATGTCCTTGTGGGAAGAACTGATAAGGCAAAGAACCTCCAACTAAGGGGAAAAAACCAGAATCTGTCCAGTGTCGTTTTGTTTTTTTAGGTAGGTCAACTTGTTTAAGAAACAAGTGCTGTGACCTGAATAGTTTCTGTGTGCTGTACTTTAAAAAAGAAGACAAAACCCTTAACTATCCTTATATTTTTAGATCTGTCCCGTGTGATGCGGAGCTTCAAGAACTAATGCATCAGATTGACATAATGGTAAACAACAGGAAACGAGAATGGGAAAAGAACATGCAGGCTTTAGAAGTCAGGATGACTATCCGGGATCAAGAACTGACAAATACCCAAAGAAAGCTGGATCAGAAAGGTCAAGAGGTACTGTAGACCGTCTCCTGTGAATGCACCCTTGAACTGGAAGAGTTACTTAATTGGCTGTCCTTTGTAAATATATTTGTTCAGGTACAGCTTATCAAAATACAAAAGCAGGACATGCTCCTGTACCCAGAGCAAGGTTTGAATCCAGTACCACCTTAAAGATCAATAAGATTCCCAGGGGCCTTGACCTGGATAGCCCAGGCAAGCCTGATCTCGTCAGATCTCGGAAGCTAAACAGGGCCGACCCTGGCAAGTACTTGGATGGGAGACCTCCCTGGAAGACCAGAGGTGGGAGGCGGGGGCAGGCTTTATTCAGCCACCTCTCTGAATATCCTCCATGCCCCCAGTAGGGGTCAGTCACCAGAGGTCGCCATGACTTCCAGGTGCACACGCGCACACACACACACACACACACACACACACACACGAACATATAAAAAATACACACACACACACAAAAAGATTTCCAGAGTATAAACTGACTTGGATGACCCAGGCTAGCCCACTCTCATCAGATCTCAAAAGCTAAGCGGGGTCCGCCCTGGTCAGTATTTGAATGGGAGACCACCCAGAAAATCCAGGGTCGCAACACAGAGGGGGGCAATGGCAAACCACCTCTGTCTCTTTCCTTGAAAACGCTATGGGGGTAGCCATAAGTCAGCTGTGACCTGACGACACTTTCCACCAATGTTCCCGCCAAGCTGCACTAGGAGGTGCTGGCGCAACAGTTTCTAGCCCTTGGTGCAGGAGATTTTAGACTCAGTGCAGAGCGATGGTCTGAGGCCAGTTCTACCCATCCCTTTCCACTGTATTGGTAGACCTGTTCTCTGGAAGACAGGTCTACCAGAATAGTAGAAAGGGACAGGTAGACCTGCTCTCTGCAGACCAGGTCTACCAATATAGTGGAAAGGGATGGGTAGACCTGTTCTCCAAAGGACAGGTCTATCAATATAGTGGAAAAGAATGGGTAGACCTGTTCTCTGGAGGCCAAGTCTACCAGTATAGTGGACCAGGGCAGGTAGATCTGTTCTCTGGCAGCCAGGTCTACCCCCATAGACTCTACCCCCATAGTATTCAAGGGCAGGTAACTTGGTCTCCGGAGGCCAGGTCTACTCCCATTGTGGACTGGAGCGCTTTTGGCTCATGACCTGGCACTTTTGGCTCATGAAGGAGGATTTTTTGCTCACAGCACTCTGCAGCTTAAAGGGAACATTGCTTTCCATCACCACCAAGTTTTCAAGAGTCAAAATTTATATCCTGGAAATCATGTTGGTCTTTAAGGTACTCTTTGGTTCAAACTTTGCTCTACTACTGCAACCAGCACAGTTGCCCTCCAGAAACAATCCTATACTTAGCAGGACATACTTTGACACAGACGCTGGAGGCTTGGTCTTACTTGCTTGTCTGCTACCACTCAATTGGGTTTTAAGCCTTCCTCTGACAGAAATGGCTCTTGTGTACTTATTCATGTATATTTATTTGTTTATGCATTCATCCAGTCCATAAGAAGTGTTAGGGTGCATTCATGTCACCCTTTTCTTGAATAACCAGGGAACACCTGGTGTGCTTTGCACCAAGTCCTGGGCTGATCCACCATTCGTTATCTGCTTCTGGACTGTATACAGAAAATAAGCTTTTCTTTGAAGAACAGCTCAGTTTCCCCTAACTGAAGTCTGACATAATGTGGAATATCAGATCTATTGACCAGTTTGGTGTAGTGGTTAAGTGCACGGACTCTAATCTGTGAGAACCAGGTTTGATTCCCCACTCCTCCACTTGCTCCTGCTGGATGACCTTGGGCAAGCCATAGTTCTGGCACAGCTGTTCTTGAAAAAGAGCAGTTTCTGTCAAGAGCTCTCTCAGCCCCACCTACTTCACAGGGTGTCTGTTGTGGGGAGGGGAGGGGAAGGGAAAGGAGTTTGTAAGCCGCTCTGAGACTCCTTTGGGTAGTGAAGGGTGGGATATAAATCCAATCTCTTATTATTATTCCGACTGAGCTCGCTTCTGGTATTGGAACTGGGCATGGAGGAAGTATTTGAAACACCACAAATTGGGGTTGGGGAAGGGGTAGGGTATCCCTCCTCTCCCCGTGTGCTTTGTTTTCAGTTAAAAATAGATGCTACTACCCCATTTTACACATAAATGGGAGAAAACGTCCCTGGAACCTTCGGTTAATATCTAGTTTGACCCTAAGTGAAATAGACCCCTTTGGGCTATTTAACTCTGTAGCATTAGCAGAAGTTAAAATGAGTACCACATTCACTTTTGCTAGTTATAAAACCTATAGGGTTTTTTATTGCCCCATAAAAAAGAAGAAATAAGATACATTTACTAGTTTGAGCCATATAATCTTAGTCGTTCTCTTTCATCTGCTCAGTATATCATTGTACACCTTTAGGACATAAAACCTCAAACTGCATATTATGAAGCACTCTCTTTGACTCGGGCCTGACAGCTTCAGATTAAGAAATTTAACGACCTCAGCAGTCATTCGATTGGGAGAGGTTTAAACTGGGGGAGCAGACCACTTTGAGAGGTTCAGTGTCGCCTCTTATGATCAACTGGCACTAAAACTTTCAGTTCTGCTCCAGGTCACGGGATAGCACTCCGTCCTCAGTGGTGGGATAACATGTTCATATCATGGTGTCTGATAGCCCAGGCTAGACTGATCTCCTCAGATCTCAGAGACAAAGCAGCATCTGCCCAAGTTAGTGTTTGGATTGGAGACCACTTAGGAAGCAGAGGTAGGCAAAGGCGAACCACCTCTGAACTCTCTCACTTTGAAAACCCTGTAGGGTCACCATGAGTTGGCTGTGACTTGATGGCAAAAAAAAATAAAATCACAGTACGTGAGCAGAGCAGAGTTCATCTGCCCCAGCCAGGGGTCGTTTCGTAGAAAAAGAGCTAGGGGAACTCATTAGCATAACTCATTAGCATATGCCACACCCCCTGACATCACCGGAAGTGTGTCATAAGGCCCCCAACGGTCCCGGCCGCCACCGCCGGCCTTGCAGCTCCACTGCCGAGCCACATGAGGGGCCCGACGGTGGACCTGCAAGCAGGGGGCGGGGCTTCGTCATGTGCCCCGCCCCCCGTACCTCACCCGGGGGAACTGCGATCCCCCCCGAAATGACCTCTGGCCCCAGCTAAATGTAAATGTATTTTTTAAAATTTATTAGATTTTTTTTAGTTGCCGCTCACCCAAAGGTTCTCGCAGCGACTTACAACATTAAAACGAATCAGGTAAAAACAACAGAAAAACAAATAACAAATGTAAAATATCAACGTTAAAATATTAAACTATTAATATACGTGGCTATTGGCATACTACTAATAAAATAGTCCAAAGATGCGGTTACCCTCCAACCTAAACAATTTGGCCTCGCCTGCCGTGCAGAAATTAAATTAGTCCAGCAGGTATAGTCTGAGAGTGCAGTCCACAGGGTAGGGGTCACCACTGAGAAGGCCCTTCCCCTGGTGGCAGCTAACTGAGCCATCCTGGGGCTGGGCACCTGCAAGAGACCCCTAGAGGATGACCAAGGGAGCACAGGGGGGTTGTAATGGGAGAGGCGGTCTCGTAGGTATGATGGTCCCAGACTGTAAAGGGCTTTAAAGATTAAACCAACAACTTGTATTGGATCCAGAGATTAGTTGGTATCCAGTGCAGCTGTCACAGAACTGGAGTAATATGAGCTGACTGTGATGCTGGACCAGCTGCAGTTTTCAAAGTGTTTTCAAGGGTAGCCCTACGTAGGGCGAATTGCAGTAGTTCAGTCTGGAGGTGACCGTTGCATGGATCAATGTGGCAAGATCTGATCCAGACAAGTAAGGAGCCAGTTTGGTGTCGTGGTTAAGTGCGCGGACTCTAATCTGGGTGAACCGGGTTTGATTCCCCACTCCTCCACTTGCAGCTGCTGGATGACCTTGGGCAAGCCATAGTTCTGTCAGAGCTATTCTCTCAAGGACAGTTCTATCAGAGTTCTCTCATCCCCGCCTACCTCATATGGGAGAATAAGCTCCTGAGGGAAATGTGGGCAAGGGTCGTGTCAGGCTTTTAGGGTCAAAACCAGCACCTCTCTTTGTGTCTTGAAACGTGTAGGCAATCCGCACAATTGTTGGAATACCAGCGCCATGTGCTCTTCTTCCCGGTCATTTCTTTCAGTGATAGTAACAAGTCGTGGGTAGGTATATTCTTGTGATCGTTCAGTAATCCCAGTCATGGTCATTTCCTATGCAGGTTGGGCTGCTAAAACAGAAGCTGGACAGTTTGCAAAAGAATAAACATGAGATGGCTCAGAATTATGACACGCAGCTTCAGGGCCTGAAAGCTCAAGTAAGGAAAAAGTCAGATTCCTATTTTACACTGCTTGCAATATTTCAAGGTTAGTTTAGCAGATTTTGGATGGCTTTGTAACTAACGTTATGGCTATTTGTATTGCACTGCTGTAGGGTTGGCGGGGCAGGGTGCTGGTGAAGTCTCTGGCAGTGATTGACTCAGGTGCTTGCCTGACACAGAAGAGCTGGCCAATCAGAAGGGCTGGCATTGGGTGTGAGGTGTTTTTTCCCCTACCTGCCATCGGCTGAATCGCTCAGATCTTAGAGAAGCACTGGCAGGCAGAAGGGCCCAGACAAGCAGAGGTCTGAGAAAGGAGCAGAAAGATGCCTGAGATGTCTACGAGAAGCCATGTTGGATGAGGCGAATGGCCCACCCAGTCCAACAACACTCTGGGTCACACAGTGGCTAAAACCCAGGTGCCATCAGGAGATCCACCAGTGGGGCCAGAACTCCAGAAGCCTTCCCACTGTTGCCCCCCCTCCCAAGCACCAAGAACACAGAGCATTACTGCCCAAGACAGAGTGTTCCCTCTACACCTTGTGGCTGATAGCCACTGATGGACCTCTGCTCTGTATGCTTATCCAATTCCCCGTTGAAGCTGTCCATGCTTGTAGCCGCCTGTGGCAGTGAATTCCATGTGTTAATCACTCTTTGGGTGAAGAAGTACTTCCTTTTATCTGTTCTAACTTGACTGCTCAGCAATTTCACTGAGTGCCCACCAGTTCTTGTACTGTGAGAAAGGGAGAAAAGTACTTCTTTCTCTACCTTCTGAATAATCAGAAAAGGAGAAGACTAGCCCTGACCTGGATAGCCCAGGCAAGCCTGATCTCATCAGATCTCGGGCGCTAAACGGGTCGACTCTGGCAAGTACTTGGATGGGAGACTGCCTCGAAATACCAGAGGCGGGGGCAGGCTTTATTCAGCCACCTCTCTGAATATCCTCCAGACCCCCAGTAGGGGTCAGTCATCAGAGGTCGCCATGACTTTCAGGTGCACATAGACTCACACACACCTGCACATACGGAAAATGCAAAAGAGAAAAAAGAAAAGGAGAAGACTAGAAGGTCTGAGGACATCATAGCCAAGAGCTGCAGAGCAATGTTCCCTCTAAGCTGTGAAGTCTTGTGAGCAAAAATTCTACTTTATGAGATATTGGCATTAAGGTTGTGAGCAAGGGATTTGGCTACTGCATAAATTAGTTTGCTCTGGAGCCATCCTTCCTGAGCGAAGACAAAAATGTGTGAGCTGGAGGCTAAAAAACTGTGAGCTAGCTCACACTGACTCAGCTTAGAGGGAACACTGCTGCAGAGGCAAAGTAAACAGCTATTTCAGGGGTCCCCAATGGAGTGC